ATCTTCATAGATACTAGTTGTATAAAAATATTTTAATTTATCATAGATATATCGATGATATATTTTGCTTGATATAAAGGGATGTTAATACAGCTTCAAATATTCTTAATTTAATTAACACTATTCATCCTAATATAAAATTCACTCTTGAATCAGAACAAGAAAGTGGTTTGAACTTATTGGACCTCTCTGTCTACAGGCATGGCAACAAATTTGAATTTGGCACATATAAAAAACCCAGTCAAACGGACCACGTACTATACTTTTCTTGTAATCATCCTCCCCAATGAAAAATGTCTTCTTTTTATTGTTACATTCACAGACTTTTATCAATTCCTTTAAATAGATATAATTACTTTCAAGAACTAAATATACCTAAATAAATTACTATCCTGACCTAATTCAAACCTTAATCAACTCAATTAAATTAAAAAAAAAATCAAAAAATTAGCTTATCCTAACATTACTTACATTAATCAATTTTACCTATCATTCCCCTTTTGGGGAAATCATTTAGCCAATAGCATTTTATTGATAACGTGGATAAAGTTTCGGTTAACTTTATAAATACATTAGATTCCCATTAAGTCAACACCAAAGATAAAACCAACATCGTAGTGTGTATGTTGCAATGCAGCGAATGCAATGCCAGATACATAGGCAGAACTTGCAGATCTCTGGGAGTCGAGATAAGCGAACAAATAATAAGGCCAAACAAATCTGCATTTGGACATCAACTAAAAACTCCAAATTATTAGTTGAACACAGAAATAACATAAAATCAATTTGAAATCTATATATATATATATATTATGCTTCCTTGATTTTTGGGAAAATATAAAACTTTTGTATTAGAAATTTTCTCGTAATTGTAAAACATCCGAGACATTGGATTTCCACACATTAATGGGATACCCTGTATATTTAACCGATCGTATTTTATATTTGTGAGTACCTGAATAATTACTTGCATCCAGATTAAAAGAAAAGAACCTTATTTATCCAGGTACTAATATTAAAATACAATCAATTTAAAAAAAATATTCTATCTTGCTTTTTGGGGGCACCCTGTATATTGGAAAATATTTTTACGCGTCTTCGAACCGTAAAACTTTTGTATTTGAAATTTTCTCGTAATTTTAAAAACAAGCGAGATATTGGATTTTCACACATTAATATTACTAAAATGTTGACTTGACTTCTCTTATCAATATAGGCAGATACTATTTTAAGAAGCTCAGCGACTGTTACTAAAAACATGCATTTTCCATATTCAGTACAACGCGTCGAGACGTGTCGTTGCCGCACCGGCCGCCGTCCCGTCCGCAACGCTTGTTCAGACGTGCAAATTAATACGACTTGTGGTGTATGTGCTTGAAATCTTGCATGAACGTGTTTGATTCGTCACTAATATAAATACGAACGTCAAGGATAATCGTTACTCATTTGTTTCTGGAATTTCATAAAGAAAAGTGAATCGATATTAGTGTTGGCCAGTGACTGAATTTGTTTCCAGACTTTCGAAGTCGATATTAGTGATTGCCAGTGTCGAAAAAGTAAGTACCTTTGTTGTACGCATATTTTAAGCCGAGAAATATTGAACTTATCGTCCCTACTTTATTATTATTGCCTATCTAATTCATTTAATTATTGCGGAGTTTTGATATCAAAATATTGTTTAAAAGTTTCTATAGAATTTACAGAAATATATTAAAATATAATAAATGAAATAATAATTTTATATTACATTAAAATAAGTTCAGCCGTTTTCATAAAACTCTATTATGGATCTTAGCGATTTATTGCTTTTAATAATTAGAAACAGTTTGCAGCCCGAACTTTGTTTATTTCATAATATTTATAATAATTGATTATTCATATTATGTTAAAATAGCCACATGCTGTTAAGTTCGAAACGCCTTAAGATTACTAAAACAAAGTTTTTTTTATTTATTAACTTATACATTTACAGGTAGGTAATTGATACAAAACATGGCCGAATCTAAGAAGAAGTGTCGTCAGTACAGTGTTGGATATTTAAAATTTGGTTTTCTTCCATCAAAGGCAGACAAACGATGCCTTTTATGCAACAAAGTTTTGAGAAATAACTCTATGAAACCATCAAAGCTGGAAGATCATCTAAGAAGGGAAAAGGTGTCATCCTGATAGACTAGGTAAAGATTTGAAATATTTCCAAACATTAAAGGAAAAATATGAAAAGAGACAAAATCATTTACCGCTTTCAATTTACCTGTTCCAGGTTTTAATCCATCAGCTGTTAACTTAAATCCTAAAAATTTTACAGATTTTTTTCCGAACTTACATTAAGATAGCTTAAACGTTAATTTGGCATCTCTAATTGCACAAAATACTTGTTCTAGTTTATTTAACATTTCTGGCCAATTTGTAGCTCCGATTAATATGTCATCTATATAACAAACTGCAATAGTATTTCGCAAAGGTCCTAATGCTAAAGAAATACAATTTGTAAATTCAAAAGGAGCATTTACCAGGCCAAAGCACATTCTTTCGGACTCAGCAGTGCCATCTGGATAAATAAAAGTATGCACAGTATGTTCTCTTCAACGTCTGAAAGCAACAATGATGGCTTGCGGGCATCTTACAATACCTCATTACTTATCGCAAAATCTGGAAAACAGCACACCATTGCAGAACAGTTAATTTTACCTGCTGTTGAAGAGGTTTTAAAAACTGTTCTGCACAAATCTTCATTTGACTCAAAAGAATTCCTTTGAGTAACAACACTGTACAAAGACGTATTGATGAAATGAGCTCTGATGTTGAAAGTTTCTTGTGTGATTATCTACGAACAACTCATTTTTCTATTCAACTGGACGAGTCAACTTTACCTGGCAATGAAGCATTATTATTGGCATATGTTCGATTTGATATGGGCAAAGAGCTACTATTCGCGAAAACTTTGAAGACGGACACAAAAGGTGAATTAATGTTTAATGTTTTGAGTGATTTTTTTAAAGAAAAATCGATTTCATTCACAAACGTTATTTCGGTGGCAACAGATGGAGCTCCTGCCATGGTCGGGCAATATCGTGGATTTATAAGACAGCTTAAAAGAATTATACCAGAGGTAATTGCGATTCAGTGTTATCCATCAACAACATCGAGTAGCGAAAAATTTGAGTGATAGATTGCACCAATCGCTTCAATTTATGATTAATGCAGTTAACAAAATAAGAAGCAATGCATTAAATTTATTTACACAATTGTGCGATGAAAATGATCAAGACTTCCAACGATTGCTGTTACACAACGAAGTACACTGGATGTCGAAAGGTGCATGTTTATCAAGATCTTATTTACTTTTTGACTCCGTTTTAGAGTTTTTAAAAAGTAAAGATCCTGATTTAAAAAAATTAACTTGATCAATTTTAAAGCAGACATCGCGTATTTGACAGATTTGTTCAAAAAATCTAATGACCTCAACTTACAATTACAAGGGGACAGCCTCAATTTAATAAAAACAAAGAGTCTAATTTCAGCTTTTCTTGGTAAATTGAAATTTATGAAGAAAAATATTGGTGCGAATTTTCACAGTTTTCAAACTTGTCGCAGGTAGAATGCCTTGATGAAGATATTCAGACATACGTTCAACATTTGATTGCCCTGCATGATGATTTTAAATTCAGATTCAAAGATATTCTGTCGATGGAAATACCACCATGGATCATAAATCCATTTGATAAAACGGAAGTGGAGAATGTAATATTACAAGAGGAGCTACTCGAGCTTAGCACTAATGAGGAGCTGAAAGTGACATTTAAAAGAGGGTATCAAAAATTTTGGATGCACGCAGAAATACCCGAAAAATATCCTGGACTAAAGGGAATTGTGCAAAAACTTCTGATAGTGTTTCCCTCGTCATATCTCGTCGAAAAAAGTCGTTACAAACTAATTAACAAAAAAAAAGAAGCAGATTGAATATCACAGAAAGGGGAGATTTACGGTTATTCCTTACAAAACTCCGGCCAAATATTGATAATTTGCTGTCAATCTATGAAGTACATCCCTCTCATTAAAATTATATATATTTTTTTTGTAATTTCCATTGTAGAAATTACATTACGTTATAAGTGTTTAATTTTAATTATATTACGACGGTTATAACAATAATAATTAATAGTGTAATAATTTATATATCTAAATTTAAATAAATACCTACAACACAAGGAAATATACTATATTTCTTTTTACCACTCCGAATGGGACGTTTTCAAAATAAAATTTGTTAGAATTGATTGGTTCTTGTGCTGTGAGCCACTGTAGATTTCAAAAAAGTAAAGTTGGATGGAGTCACTTTTTCGTTTGGCCAACTTTGCTTTTTTGACATCCACTCACAGCACAATCAATTAAAATTTAATTGAAAATTGTTTAGTCGACTTTATTATCAAATAATTAACCCTGTCAAGCAATCAATTCTAACCTTTTTTTTTTTCGAAAACTGTTAATTCGTCGTTTTAACCAGCCACAACGCAAGTTTCCATAGACAGATCTAATCTTCACGTTGTTTTCGAGATTTACAAATTGGTAGTCCACCGGATCTAGCAAAATTTTTAAAGTGGTCTATGAAACAAAAGAGTTTGGGAACCTCTGATCTAAACAAATGTTTTTGGTTGATACAAATACAATACTTCCTTATACTATTGGAACGTAGTTTCCACCAAGTTTTTCCTTATAATTATCTAACATCAATATTTGATGACGAATTAAAACAGTAAACAATAAGTAGGTACTGTTTTAAGGTTAGTTATTTGCAAAATAAGACAACTGATGTTTGAAATAAAATTTTATTCTTTGGGGTGGATAATAAGCATGCGCAAGCACGCTCCGATGAATAGAATATTTTCCTACCTGACGGAGCGCTCCAATGAATAGACACGGCCTTTATTATTTACTCCATAAAGTTCGAGTTCATGGAAGAAACTTTCCAAACAATTTCTCGTTTTTTAGGTGTTTTTTACTTAAGTAATGAAGTTTTAAATCTGGCGCTCTATAAGTTTTATAACCGCACAGAGTGCATTCGTTAGTTGGTTCTTTTCCGCATTCCAATCTTTGATGTCTTCTTAAATCTCCTACGTTTTTATAGTGCTTGTTGCAGTTTTTACATTCGTGGCGTTCTAAAACTAAACAAAACGTAACATTTAACAACAAAAGGAGTAATAAAAACTATAAATTATATATTTTTTAAAAGAATTGTGAATTAATTGTCATCTGTAGCTAAAATAACAAATATAATACAATTAGTAGGTCTTATTTCGATTTTTGTGACTCAATTCTTCATTTATTTAACCTTAAAAAATTAAATCAACTTCAAAAATTTTAAAATCGTGGCATGTGCATAATTTGAATTAAAAACAAACCATCTTACACAGGTTGCCACAATGTTTCATCAAAGGTTTGTATTACTTTACGATCCTTTATAGTCGGAGAACTGATAAAGAATTTGGAGAAGATATTTTAGGCAATTTAAAATAGGAAAAAATAGTACTTATCGATGTTAGGCAAGGCAAGGCATGTGAGGTGACTGTAGTTTTTCAAAAGAACGCGCTGTGCTGCATCACCTCACACATCTACTTTGAAATTGAGACTTTCATATTCTGTGTAATATTTTTTATTTTTAATGCTTTCATCCAAGCCACTAACAATTCAATTTTTTCCAGTTTTCCAAAGTTATTTGCAACACTAACGAAACGTTTCCTAGCTGGTGGAAATTAAAGAACATTCCCTTGTGAAATTCAAGGAAAGATGGGATGAAACAAGAAACTGCAGAGTTGCCAGGGAACTCTTAAGTTATCCTGACAACACTACAGCAAACAAATACTTGACTATGACTAGACAGAATCTGCGCCTAGTCACAGGCATTCTGACTGGTCATTGCCAAGTACGGAAGCATCTACATATCATGGGGCTGTCATAATCCGCACTCTGCAGAGGGTGCGAACAAGAAGATAAGACCATCGAGCATAACCTTTACGATTGCTCGACGCTCTCATTTATTAGAAGATTTGTGTTCGGCGAGTATCGGCTAACACCGGCCGATATAAGAGAAGCACCTCTTGGCGACGTTGTCAACTACATTAAATCTGTAGGCTGGCTCACGAGCTAGGAGGTGCCTATCATCTTAGGAGGATGCACAATGGGCCTAATGAGGCCTAAGTGCCGTGGAGGTAACCCACCTTCCACACGCTACAGATACAGATAGCTGGTGGAAAATAGGGAAATATATCTTTATGTAAGCGGCTGTTGCATCCAGGGACCGAGCAAATCAGTCTGGCCCTTCGTTTAACACAGCATCACTTTTTATCGTCAATTTTTCACTTTTACTTCACTTCCTCAGATGAGAAGTGAAAGTAGTACTCATTTATGAGCTAGTTATTCACTGTAGTCCAAAGCCAAAAATGTAGGCTAACGCTTTTCATTTTGTTGAATTTGGCAAAATTTTATTTGAGTATTAGGACCCAATGTGGGTCCCAGGTAGTGTGGACATGCTAAATCACTAAGGAAAATAAGATGCTGGTTTTTTCATAATGTGGTTAAACATCTAGAAAAATTTTATATCAAAGCTAAGAATATTATTTGGGTAATATTGGGAGATATTGATACGTACAGTTACTTACACCCAACCATTTATAAATTGTAATTATTTACATTTTGTGGTTATACTTTAAGTTTTATTTTAAGATCGAAATGAATAAGAAGACGACTATGAATCTAAAGGGCCATTACTAAATGAAAATATACTTAAAATTTTGGGCAATGGACTCAATAAGGATGAGTACTGATGAAGTCATTCAGACATTTTGGATTCAGAACTATCATAGTTTGTTTCCATATATACTTAAATTATTGTCCTTTGATGGCGTCACTCAAAGGCTGCAGATACCAATACAGCTCTTAAAAGATGTGAAAAGTTAAAGATTTTGCAGACCAAGTTAGGGTCTAGTTTCTCCTTACTTGGTAAGGCACTGTCCTCTATTCTTGGTTGAGAGGAAAATGTTGAAGGGAAGCTGTCAAAATTGTGGATCTACTAAGTGATGTTGCTCGTCTCCTACGCGATATTTATTGGCAAAACTCTAAAACTAAAAAAATATTCTGTCATTAGAATTTAAAAGTGACCTCATGGAAGTAATAGGGGAGACTAAGTTAGATAATTATTTGGGAATAACTTAGGAGACTGAAGCAAATAAGCTAAAGCAATGAAGTGTTTGGGTGAAGATTTGAAACAGAGGCATAAGTCACTGGTACTACATAAAACTTTAAACTTCAAAAGTCCCCCCTCCGGACAACAGAAGTATTCATTCCCACTGATACACCAACAGAAACCTTGGAATATACCTCAGAGACAGCAACCCATATAGAGTAATTTACGCAACAGAGCTCGCCTTCGAAGCTATTGCTTCATCATCAGGCACACCTAAATGGAATGTCAAGGAGTCAGTAGTAATAAAACTTTTATAATTGTTTTTATTACTACTGACTCCTTGACATTCCATTTAGGTGTGCCTGATGATGAAGCAATAGCTTCGAAACCGGTTGCCAATTAAAATTGACTTGTGAGAAATAAAGGACCTTTTCTTAACCCCTTATACTTAATACTTTATATTGTAACTATTTTAACTTCTACCTTAAAAGATTATAAGGTGAGGTTAAAACTTAGAGACTGAGTGAAAATTAAATAATGATATGTATTTTTAATGATTAGTGCATGAGGTATGGCTCATGGAAGAAATACCCTTATGCCTCAACCACTGGTACATTCTCCTTAGATTGGTCAGATTATAATAACTTACAGTTTTCTCCATTTTTCCTTTTCCTGCCAGTAATTAAGAAAATTTTAAATGATTTCAAGTTTCACTCTTTCGTCATAAATGAACATGCCTCAGGTGTGGTAGTAGTAGTGCCCTTTTGGGCTACCCAACCTTGGTGTTTAGAGATCAAGACTAATTAAATTTCGGCCCCTGGTCCCTTATTTTAATTATCTTTCGACATAACTCCACATCCTTTGGCAATAAACCATTCCCTGGTGACAGGATTTTATACAACATGCATTTACCATAAAGCGCATGGACTCCAATATACTATTGAGGTTATGCTGTAATCTATTTCAACTTCTACCTTAAAAGAATATACGATGAGGTTGAAACTTTGATAGAAGTTTTGTATGTTAGAGAGAACAGACCCCCTCACAGGTGATATCTTGAAGGTTTTCTTTGTATTTCTGAAAGGACAATTCCAGGAGGGTTCAACATACGAATCATATAATAACTATAGGTCAGCACTTTCTTTGATTTTGTCACTGGACATTGCTGTGGACTTTAAGGTAAAAGGTTTGTTTAAAGACATCAATGACCTAAGACATTCTCTATCATGGTACGACTCAACTTGAAACCCATTAACAATACTGACTAACTTTAGGGATTTGTGTTCCAATAATGTACTACCTGTTATAGAATTATCCAAAAATTAGTGATATTATTAGCATTATTTACTGCGCATACAATGCAAACTTTGAGCCTTAATAAATTATAAAATAATTTTAGAGCTGATAGGGTCAAGTCATCAGATAGAAACAGATTCCAACCATGTTTAACTCTTCTTTTATACATTAAGTCATTGTGTAAAGCGAACTGAAATTAAATATCATAAGATCCACAGCAGGCTCGTCATGTGAGTCTTTGTTTATGGTAATTTATATAACCGGCCGCTTTTGCAGATACCATTCTACTGTAGATTGTAGATTAAACTCTCTAAACATCTACGTTGACTTATCATCTCAAGAAAGCAGTGCAAGTGAGGTTCGATCTTGATTATACACTGCGCTCCCTTCGAACATGATCTCTTCTAACCCAACCTGGATCCCAGATCATCGCAGTTGCTACAAATCTTCGAAAAAGTGATAGCCACGCTCCCAGAATAGGTTATAGGTTTTACGCTTTGGGCTATCGTTCACAACTAGCCCATAAATGAATACAACGTTTACTTATCATCTAAAGAAGAGAGGCGCAGTATATAATCAAGATCGAACTTCACTTAAGGTAAGTTCGTTTGATCTTAATATTAATAGTCCAAAGTTTAAATTTACAGTAGAACTAAACACCTTAAGTTATGATTCGTAAAAAAATTAATAATACGAAATGTAGAAATTATCTAAAGCAATTGATGGTGCCATATGACATACAGGTGAGGAAAACCCGAGAAATCCCACCCACCATCATCGAAACGGTAACGCATGGCGATTTATAATATGGATATCATATCAATAGAAATGAAATTACTGCAGATACGGCACCCATCAAATTCTATAATGAATCATGCAAATTAATTTTAAATTTAAATGGTTCGGTCTAGGATCACACATTCGGGGTAGTCTGGTCATACTTCAAATAGTCTGCATTGTATAAGAGCTAAAATAAAAAATTACAATAATTGCTAAAGGAATTTTTTTTTTTGAATAATTTTTTGAATTATTTTTTGAATAAATGTTTTAATGCTCCTTTTGTTTATAAACTACTTTTCTATAGTACGTTTACGTTTACTGGTTTAAAGGGTCATACTTGTACTACATTTCTGAGAACTTACTTTTCCTTATTCCTTAAAGGAAGTATATTGAAGTTGCAAATATAGCAATTAGTATAACTTCTTCCACCTTTAGTTGTCATACATGCTTCATAGATTGATATCTTGGTAAAGTCATGCGTCATACGTCCGACTATATCTTTTTAATTTGTGCTCTGAAGTAAGCTGGGTGCTGATAATAATACCATTTAAAATACTGATAGATTACTCCCATTTGATAACAGATGAAGAACGTTTGGAAAGGTAGAAAATAAAGCAAAAACACACGAAACTAATATTTACTCACTATAGACTTTGTTAACTATCATCAAGTAGAACTGTCCGAATGTTGCACCTGTCGGATATGTTTTTGACTTTTAAAATGTACCGTTAGATTTCCCGAAATTTTCGTTTTATAGTCACATGGTGTGCAAAAATAAGTAGGCTCTTTTCCACAATCGATTTTCTGATGTTTCCGTAAATCTTTTAGGTTCTTATAGTCTTTTCCACAATCTTCGCATTTGTGTCTACCTAAGTTTAAAATAGAAAAAAATGAGTGTGAATAAATAGGTATGTAAAATTTTAAACAAGGTTTTTTAATATTTCATAAAAATTTTACTTAATGACACTCACTGTATTGCTAAATTCTATGCCAATCTTTCATCAAAATGCTCATTTTGCCCAACATTAAAGAAACCAAAAGTTTTGCGATTCAACTCATTGATGTCACTTAGTGTAAATGGTTAGTTTGAGATTATACCTTGTATAAAAGTTATTAGGGGTGATATCCGGTGATCTGAGTAGCTATTTCTTCGTTGTTAGACAAGTAAAGAGGCAAATATTTTTACTCAGTTATGGAAACAAATGGTTTCGGTGCAAAAAAAAACATTTTCTTAAATAAATCATTCCTTTATTTGATTTTTTTCAAGTAACTGCATATTTCTTTGATGTTTCCTACTTTCATAATGAGATTTAAGATCCCCCATTCTCTTTGTCGAGTAATTACACAGAGTACACGAAAATTTGGATTCTTTACCGCAATCTGCTCTTTTATGTTCTCTTAGACTTGATTTGTTTTTGTAAGTCTTCCCACACTGTTCGCATTTCTCTCTATCTAAAATAACAAAAGGGTTAAACAATGTGGTTCCAGATTAATTAAGAATAATATAAAAATATTGACACAGACTCGTAACTGAAAACTTTCACTTTTGGAAACAAGCAGGTTCCAAAAATGTTCGCGATTTTGATATAGATGTCCGTCTCTCAACTAATTACCTTCTACATTTTCGAACATACAGTCTGTTCGCTATACTTACGCGGGTTTCGGAATAACAAAATTATGCAAATTAGTCATTGACAACCAGTTCCAATAAGCCTCTTCCCAAGAAATTAGGTAAAATTGCCCTAATGGTCAGATTTAAATTAAAATAACATTAGGGTAGGTACTAAATTTGTTACAAATATTGCAGTTGAATTGATTCTTTGCAAGTGTTGACATTGTATGTATATTGTAAGTTTAGTGGAAATTTTAAAAATGCCTAGACGTGTGTTAGATGTAGATAGTTTAATTTGTAGTGTACATAAGTATTTTACGGATGAAAAAGAAAATGGCGGTCCTTTAAAATCGGTAATGTCTGTACAACAACGCGTATGCGATGCTCTAGGAATTAGTGAAACCAAATTAAGAGGAGTATTACAAAATCACAATAGTGAACTGCCGAAAGAAGATCACCGCGAAACTCGCCCATCATTGAAAACGAAAGATATTTCAGATGGAAAGAAATTTAAAATTCGTGATACCATTTATCGAATGAGGACCAACAAGGAACATGTGACCTTAAATACAATTCTCTCGGAATTAATAGATAGAACATTTGACGACATTTGCAGAATAAGTCTATGGCAAGTGATACATAACTTTCAAATTCCAAAAGGAGGATAACAGAAAGGCCCTTCGTGAAAGAAGTTCTGTCGTGCACAAGATAATTAACTTTCTAAGAAAATATTCCAAATTTAAAGAAGAAGGGGTGAATTTTATATATTTAGACGAATCATGGATATTTTCTAGAGGTGCAACCAAGAGAATATGGCAAGATGATAACGTAAAGTACATCAAACATACCGATGGAGAAGGGAAGCGACACATAATTTTACATGCAGGAGGGAAATCAGGTTTTATAGAAGGTGCTGATTTAATATTTTCATCTAAATCAAAATCAAGTGACTATCACGATAATATGAACACAGAAATGTTTGTAAAATGGTTGCATAAAAAACTTCTCCCATGTTTAAGTGAGCCCAGCGTAATTATTTTAGACAATGCACCTTACTATTCTGAAGTATTAAACAAAAGTCCAACGAATTCTTGGACTGTTGATAATATTAAAGAATGGTTGACAAAGGAACATATACCATTTCCTCAATATATATTAAAATCAGAATTATTACGCTTGGCAAATATACACGCAAAACCAAAAACCTTTGTTGCAGATCAGGTTATTGAAAGTTACGGTCATCAAGTTTTATGTCTGACACCGTATCATTGCCAGTTTAATCCCATCGAATATATATGGGGAATAGCAAAACAATATTATGACAACCATATTGTGCCTAATGGTTATAGAGACGACGCAGTTCGGGAAACTTGGCGAAAAGACTTTCAATTGCAACTCCAGAAGTGTGGCGGAACTGTATATCCAAGTGCGAGAATAACAACTAATGGTGATGACAGTGATGATTATGACGATTATGATATTTTGGATGATAATGACTGATTTTCATTTTTGTTGCAAGTTCAATTTTTTTATTTTTCATTTGAAATTCTCTACATGGAACAAATTTTTATGTTAGAAAATATTTTATTTGAGCTAAATAACCCTCTTATAATACATAGACCATATTTTTTGTGTGAAGTGTAATATAACATTCTTATTAGATTTATAATAGCCACATTAGACTCCATTAATGAAGAAGTTTAATTCTGCTCTCAATTATACAAAAGATTCTCCATTATTATTTAATTTAAAAGTTGTACATTATTTTTCATTTCATTTAACCAGTTGATATTTCCCCAACGAACAGGTCAAACTTTCGGGTACTTACTTGGAAATACTCATAAAAATTTTAATCCGAAACCCGCGTAAGTATAGCGAACAGACGTATGAAACTAAACGGTTCGAGAAAAATTAAAAAGATCCTTACATGAAAATATTTATTTTTCGGTAAAAAATTTAATCAACTGAATAACTGAACATTATTAATGTGTTTTTGAGTTTGATAATGATGGTTGAGGTCGGCTTTTCTCCTCGATTTATACTGACATAAATCACAGGAATACTTTGATTCTTTTCCACAATCTTGAGCTAAGTGTTTTTTCAAAACTATCATGTTTTTGTACGTTTTGCCGCAATTGTAGCAATGTAATCTGAGCTTATCTAAAAATGAAAAACATGCAAAAATTGACAGATTTATATATAATTAGTATTTTACATACGTATTTTATTAGTAAAAATGCAAATTATCAATTAAAGTTAGTGTTTTTCTTTTCATTAATTCATGAATGTCGACAAAAGCCATTTGTAAAATGTTTTATACAAAAACATATCTGATGTTAAAACACAGCACCGTACTATAGTTTTGTTGGAAGATCTCATTGTAGAATGAGGTAGTGAATTAGAGTAGAATAATTTGCTCTCGATCGTCCAACAACATATTATACAAAAGAATACAGATTGTTACGTGGAGAACTAAACAAAATTGTTTACAAATATTACCTGTATTATTTAAAACGTCGATATTTTTTGTCGTGCAACCAGTCCGGCCCTGTTCTTTGTTTACCTTATCATCGTTCAAGCCGCCCGCATGTATTCCGTTGCTGCTGCAATATTGCTATTAGTATTTACACTGAAAAAACTTATAAACCCAAACAGCAAAGAATAGTTATATTGCTGAATTCCCCATAAAATTAACTTATCACTGATTGATAAGTCATACTTGTAAAATAGAAGCAAAGGAGCATTTATTTAATAAAGTAAAAACATAATTAATCTCTTATGTAAATGTTTATTTATTCTATAGAGTCACTATGCATCTGAATATTCTTAATATGTTTTTGAGTTTTATAATGATTACTTAAATTAGTTATTCTTCTTGTTTTGTACTGGCACACATCACAGAAAAACCTCCATTCTTTTCCACAATCTTGTGCTACGTGCTTCCTTAAAACTGACATGTTTTTGTAGGTTTTCCCGCAATTAGGGCAACGTAATCTGAGTTTATCTAAAAAAATTAATAACATTTGAAAATTGTAAGAAAATGTGATTTAAAAATTAATTTTGTTAGTAGAACTAGAGACTTAGAATTAAAAGCGAAGTGTTTTTGCATTAATTAATTTTATTAAACAAAAATTTGTTATTAGGATATAATTATATATTTTCCTACACTTCATGACTCGTTTAAATTTAAAAGTATTGCAATAGGTACCGAGTTTGCTTTCACTAACAAATTTTAAACGATTTGAAAATACTATGAATTATATTTTAGAAGTTCTGTTTCATTTTGAAAATTGTAGGTGCGACTCATTTTGAATTTTGGTTTTTATGAACTTGGTATTGATATAAATCGATATAAATCAAAAGAAATCGAAAGAAATCGATAGAAATCGATAGAAATCGATAGAAATCGATAGAAATCGATAGAAATCGATAGAAATCGATATAAATCGATAGAAATCAATAGAAATCGATAGAAATCGATAGAAATCGATATAAATCGATAGAAATCGATAGAAATCGATAGAAATCGATAGAAATCGATAGAAATCGATAGAAATCGATAGAAATCGATAGAAATCGATAGAAATCGATAGAAATCGATAGAAATCGATAGAAATCGATAGAAATCGATAGAAATCGATAGAAATCGATAGAAATCGATAGAAATCGATAGAAATCGATAGAAATCGATAGAAATCGATAGAAATCGATAGAAATCGATAGAAATCGATAGAAATCGATAGAAATCGAAAGAAATCGATAGAAATCGAAAGAAATCGAAAGAAATCGAAAGAAATCGAAAGAAATCGAAAGAAATCGAAAGAAATCGAAAGAAATCGAAAGAAATCGAAAGAAATCGAAAGAAATCGAAAGAAATCGAAAGAAATCGATAGAAATTGATAGAAATTAATATAAATTGATATAAATGAATAGAAATTGATAGAAATTGATAGAAATTGATAGAAATTGATAGAAATTGATAGAAATTGATAGAAATTGATAGAAATTGATAGAAATTGATAGAAATTGATAGAAATTGATAGAAATTGATAGAAATTGATAGAAATTGATAGAAATTGATAGAAATTGATAGAAATTGATAGAAATTGATAGAAATTGATAGAAATTGATAGAAATTGATAGAAATTGATAGAAATTGATAGAAATTGATAGAAATTGATAGAAATTGATAGAAATTGATAGAAATTGATAGAAATTGATAGAAATTGATAGAAATTGATAGAAATTGATAGAAATTGATAGAAATTGATAGAAATTGATAGAAATTGATAGAAATTGATAGAAATTGATAGAAATTGATAGAAATTGATAGAAATTGATAGAAATTGATAGAAATTGATAGAAATTGATAGAAATTGATAGAAATTGATAGAAATTGATAGAAATTGATAGAAATTGATAGAAATTGATAGAAATTGATAGAAATTGATAGAAATTGATAGAAATTGATAGAAATTGATAGAAATTGATAGAAATTGATAGAAATTGATAGAAATTGATAGAAATTGATAGAAATTGATAGAAATTGATAGAAATTGATAGAAATTGATAGAAATTGATAGAAATTGATAGAAATTGATAGAAATTGATAGAAATTGATAGAAATTGATAGAAATTGATAGAAATTGATAGAAATTGATAGAAATTGATAGAAATTGATAGAAATTGATAGAAATTGATAGAAATTGATAGAAATTGATAGAAATTGATAGAAATTGATAGAAATTGATAGAAATTGATAGAAATTGATAGAAATTGATAGAAATTGATAGAAATTGATAGAAATTGATAGAAATTGATAGAAATTGATAGAAATTGATAGAAATTGATAGAAATTGATAGAAATTGATAGAAATTGATAGAAATTGATAGAAATTGATAGAAATTGATAGAAATTGATAGAAATTGATAGAAATTGATAGAAATTGATAGAAATTGATAGAAATTGATAGAAATTGATAGAAATTGATAGAAATTGATAGAAATTGATAGAAATTGATAGAAATTGATAGAAATTGATAGAAATTGATAGAAATTGATAGAAATTGATAGAAATTGATAGAAATTGATAGAAATTGATAGAAATTGATAGAAATTGATAGAAATTGATAGAAATTGATAGAAATTGATAGAAATTGATAGAAATTGATAGAAATTGATAGAAATTGATAGAAATTGATAGAAATTGATAGAAATTGATAGAAATTGATAGAAATTGATAGAAATTGATAGAAATTGATAGAAATTGATAGAAATTGATAGAAATTGATAGAAATTGATAGAAATTGATAGAAATTGATAGAAATTGATAGAAATTGATAGAAATTGATAGAAATTGATAGAAATTGATAGAAATTGATAGAAATTGATAGAAATTGATAGAAATTGATAGAAATTGATAGAAATTGATAGAAATTGATAGAAATTGATAGAAATTGATAGAAATTGATAGAAATTGATAGAAATTGATAGAAATTGATAGAAATTGATAGAAATTGATAGAAATTGATAGAAATTGATAGAAATTGATAGAAATTGATAGAAATTGATAGAAATTGATAGAAATTGATAGAAATTGATAGAAATTGATAGAAATTGATAGAAATTGATAGAAATTGATAGAAATTGATAGAAATTGATAGAAATTGATAGAAATTGATAGAAATTGATAGAAATTGATAGAAATTGATAGAAATTGATAGAAATTGATAGAAATTGATAGAAATTGATAGAAATTGATAGAAATTGATAGAAATTGATAGAAATTGATAGAAATTGATAGAAATTGATAGAAATTGATAGAAATTGATAGAAATTGATAGAAATTGATAGAAATTGATAGAAATTGATAGAAATTGATAGAAATTGATAGAAATTGATAGAAATTGATAGAAATTGATAGAAATTGATAGAAATTGATAGAAATTGATAGAAATTGATAGAAATTGATAGAAATTGATAGAAATTGATAGAAATTGATAGAAATTGATAGAAATTGATAGAAATTGATAGAAATTGATAGAAATTGATAGAAATTGATAGAAATTGATAGAAATTGATAGAAATTGATAGAAATTGATAGAAATTGATAGAAATTGATAGAAATTGATAGAAATTGATAGAAATTGATAGAAATTGATAGAAATTGATAGAAATTGATAGAAATTGATAGAAATTGATAGAAATTGATAGAAATTGATAGAAATTGATAGAAATTGATAGAAATTGATAGAAATTGATAGAAATTGATAGAAATTGATAGAAATTGATAGAAATTGATAGAAATTGATAGAAATTGATAGAAATTGATAGAAATTGATAGAAATTGATAGAAATTGATAGAAATTGATAGAAATTGATAGAAATTGATAGAAATTGATAGAAATTTATAGAAATTGATAGAAATTGATAGAAATTACTAGAAATTGATAGAAATTGATAGAAATAATATTTTGTTATTTGCATATTGTCATTAAAGAAGTAAATCGTGTATATAAATGTTAATTCTGATAATAATTTGTATGCGTGAAGAAATGGAAATGTTCTTCAGGTGTTCATTACGATTTACAAGAATTGTTTTATATACAATAGCTGTATATCTGTAAGTAACATGAAGACACTGTATATTATGGTAAGTTCAGATTTTCACGGTAAATGATTTATTTAAATGGGTTCAAAAGCAGGTGTGTTATTTTTCGTCCAATTTTTTCAATGATATTTAAAACTTTATTTAGTTTTTGAATCGATGTATGTAAGAAAGTACTAGAAATATAAAACTATGCCATCAGCAAAAGTATGTATTAACAAATTTAAAACATTTATATGTACATCATAAATAGCAGAGGTCTTAATACACTACCATGCAGTACACCTAGTTTTTGTGTTTGACTCCTAAATTTGTTATTTGAGGGAGGCAAGTAAGGTTATTTACGATCGTTTTCAATATACAGGGTGTTTCAAAAAGGTATGTCATAAATTCTTCCTCAGATAGATTACCAAAAAATAAGTGGATTTTGCTATATTTACCTATATTAAAACTAGCTCCCAAAAAAGTTACAGGGCGTTAAACTAACATTCAGAAAAACGTTTTTT